ATTCGATGACGATTGTATGACAACGGTCGTTTCCAATAATGTCCACGGTACGCCCCTGAGTATGATGTGCGCAAAAATGTTTCCTGATAGCAGACTTGCGCTGTAGAAAACTCACTCTATACTCTTTCTGTCACTTTACTCAGGACGTTGTCACCACAGGGTCAAGAAGAACGGGGTGGGTAGCCGTCGTTTACCGTGGCTGACAAATCTACAAAGTCCGCCTACGCGTGTCACGCGTGTCTAATTCGCGCACGATGAGTGGGGAGGGACTAGAATGTCAGGCATCCTGCATAATGTGGATTTTCTTTGTCCCGTTTGGCATGACTGAAACCCCCTCACTGCTACTTTTTCCGCATGACGTCAGGGGTCAACGTAGATGCGTTAGTGACCTAGAGCCAGACTCTATGTTTTTTCTCATCTCATATAGTTTTTACTCAGACCCACTATTCGATCATAATGGGGAAGAAAACTGGAGGCATAGCGAGGAAAATGTGGCGAGAGTCAACACAGGAATCTCCTTTGAGCAGCGGCGGTTCTCACATTTCAATAGGAACAAACTTACTAGAGTTGACTATGGAACTGCATTAGAGCACTCGGTTAATGCCTCTTCGCCCGTTGGATGAATTAAAGTATTTTATCCTTTTTGTTTCTGTTCAGTTCATTGTTCGAAATTTGGAGGCCCTTCAAAGAAAACTTGCTGGCCTGATCGAAGAGTGGAGCGGGATGCTTAACTTCAATTCGACCAGCATCAGTAAAGAGGACGAAGCGACTTTTATTAGCTTGACGCGAGCGAATGACATGATTTGCACCCTCCTCAATAAGTATCTGCGTGCTTATGATGAGGTTTGTCACCACATTATGTTTGTTTTTGAGGAGACCCGGAATAAGAATAAGTTTTCTCCGCTTCATTTTCGACCTTACCCCTTTAGATTTTACCTTGTTCATCCAGAATTCATCAGCGCGACTTTAGTAAGTACTAAAATCCGGCGTTGGGCTGATTAGACTCGGTTTGATTCATTGAAAAACATAGAGTAAAGAAACAGTGTTTGGCATTTTAACGCCATACTCGACTGTATTTTCAATAGTGAGTACTTGTCTGAGGCAAACGTGAATACTTCAGAAACCGCCTGTGTGGATGCTAGAATCTTGTCGCAGCACTCAGTCCCTTTTGCCTCTTTGTCGCAGCGATCACACTTCTTCTTCTTCTTCTTCTTCTTCTTCTTCTTCTTCTTCTTCTTCTCAATT